GTCCCATGTACTACCAACCTTCTTATACTTTACTCCCCTCTATGAAATTTATCAACCTATTATAATAGGTTACTTACCATTTTTTGCACACAACACACCATCCGCCATCTCTGAACTTTTACTCCAGCTATTTCCCAGACCTGAAAAGCTTTCTTCATAGTTCTACATCTTAGAATACCTAGCTTCCTTCAAGACTCAGTTCAAAGATCACCTTTTATCTCTAGACTCTCCCCCTACGGTTACTTTCCATCTACTCTGTATATATCTTGTAGGTATCTATTTGTTTCTGGAATGCAGTACTCTAGCCACTTAAGCTCAATTCTTAGGAGTATGTTCAGGGTGCTGCTAATGCAATTCTGTACATTGAAGAGGCTGGGGGCCTGCTTCCAGGAGAGTGGGGATGGTATGTAATTCGAGTAAACAGTAGGCTCTTTGATTGGCTATGCCTGCATAACTGGAACTAGAGGGGCATTCAGAAGTCGCTAGCTGACTTCATCTTTTTGGTTTGACTTCTGCTAGCCAGGACAGACAATGCTGTCAGGGCAGAGAACTTGGGTCGTTCCTGTGTTAGGCAGGTATGTGGCCTGTGAATATGGGCCTCGGTTCTTTGCCTCCGAGTTTGTTCTTCCATTTTAAGCAAAGGAGAGTGAAGGTTACAACCTTGTGAGTTTCAAAAAGTCCCAAAGTCAAGTCTATGCCAAGCTTTGCTGCTAGCCAGTCAAGCTCTGAGGCCCCAAAGAGTGACTTTCGGGACCACTGTCCCACAGCCTTGGAGACAAGGACTCATTCAGCAGCAATGCCACATTTGGATACAAATCTGATGATATTAGTGCTATGTAGAAAAAACAGAAAGTCTGAGGCCACTCTCCCAAAGCAGGGGTAATATATAGGAGAGTGTACCCCCAAAAAAGTGTTGGGAGGAGGGAACATTTATACTTTAGTACTTGTTATCTCTTAAAAATAAATTCTCTCTGTAAAAGCAAATCGATGTTAAGTGGAACTGGTGGCTATCAGTGAGTGGAACATGCCTAGAATGGCAGCTCAAGCTGATAGAATTAAGAGACCTCAAACCCTTAAAGGGATCCCCAGAAACTTGAAGAGGCCAGAGAAAACACTCAAAACATTTACATACTTCCCACATTAAAACATTCCTCAAGGGCAAGAATTGTTTTCGCCCTTTTTTGTAATTCCAGAACTAAAAGCAGTGCTCACAGCACTAAGTGCTCAATTGACTGAAAACTAAACAGCTCTTGTTTTTATAGTATTTTACCATTTACAAAGCACTTTCCCCATAGCAGGCCTGTGAAGCAGGCAGGGAATCATCTAAATTTGACCTCTATGGACTTCTCATATTTAGTTTTCAATATTGACTTTTTTTTTTCTTTTTGGTGGCTTGCCCAGGGTCACACAGCTAGTATCATGTGTCTGAGACTGGATTTGAATTCACATCCTCCTGACTCCAAGGCTGGAGCTCTCTCCACTACACCACCTAGTCAGTATATACTTCTTGCGATACCCTTTGCATACTCTACCTTCCAGCCAAACTGAACTAGCGGGGCTCCAAATGCTCCATACCATCTCAAGCGGTTCTCATGCCTGGAATACCCTTCCTCCTCACCTCGGTCTCTCACAATCTCCAACGCGTTCCCTTAACTGCTCACTACTTGTTAATGGTCTCTCCTTCCTCAAATACCTTTCACTCATTTCTCCGTGCATCTGTGGAATCCTCCTATTAAAAGGTAAGCTCAAGGAAAGAACTGTTTCCATTTTGTTTCTTTGTAGCCCCAGGGTGCACATGGTGGCTTGCATACAATTAATTAAAGCAATACTTTACAGATGAAGATACTGAGATTCAGAAGTTAAATGACTTGCTCATAGTCACATTGATGGTAAGTGGCAGACCTGGGACTCAAACCCAGGTCATCTATTTCCCAAATCCAGGGTCCTTACATTATGGCTCAATATTGCTTCCCTAAATCTAAAGTCACTATCAAAAATAATTACAGATACTTAATTTTTCTATTATTTGGTGGATTTTTTGTTATGAAATGGAAAGCGATGAAATAAAGAATATTATGTAGTAAGAAGTTTTAAATTAACTGACATTTATGAGAGTATGCAGTCATTTGCATTTTGGACAAGGTATTACATTTGATTCTAAAAACTGATTTCTCTGAAGCAAAAAATTAATCAATCTAGTTATAATCAATAATATATACATTTCAGGAAGATTTATGTCAACATATATTCTCCCAGTTTCACTGCTGAAGAACACTGTTGACACCATCCAGTATAGGGACATATTGATAATTCCACTAACAGTTGTTTTTACAAACATTTTTGAGTTATACTTGAAACCTGAGTTTTTTTTAATTTCACAAGTCAAATCTACACAGAAAATATACTTCCAGTTACATCCATAGCAAGACTAAGGTGGTGGTATGTCACTTATTATCTCTTTAAAGTCCTCTTTTGTTGATCTTCAGGTTTGTGCAAAGCAAAAAGGATTGTTTCAAGAGAGTGTATTGTTATACTACAGTGGGACAGTCCTTCCGAGAAGCTCTTAAGGTGACATGTGAAGACTATAAAAGGAATAAAAATGAGCTTCATTCTGTAGAACCAAATTTCTAAGGAAGAGTTTTTAAAGCTTTTCTTCTAAAATAAATAGTTTTGCTGCCTACATTATTCTTCCCCCCCTCTTTGTCTACCCAATTGCATATAATGATCATTCAGTATGCAATCCCATTCTTTCTGAGCAAGTTGCACAGAAAAATACTAAAAGGTAGAGGTGAATCTTATGAGCCAATCAGCATCACAGGACAACAGTGGCACAATGTGAATCTGCTACTTTCAGATAAAAAGAGAAATTGTTTTAAAACAACAGCACCACTTATTGTTTGAGCATTCCCTTTAAAGCCTCCAAACCTTTGGGAAGGACACGAAGCACTGAAAATATCTCTGGGAAGGCAAGGTCAGAAACAAAGAGATCATAATTGGTCTAAGTTTACACTTCCTGTTTAGAATGAAAACAAACCTTTCACCACAAACTCTTCACTAAATGTTCAACCAGTGAAACACTGAAAGGGAAAAATTGCACACATGTAGCAATCAGTTTTGACAAGAGGCCCATCAATAGCTAAGTCTTTTACAGCCACATCATTATCAATCTGATCTGCCATATCTGATGCTTGACAACACTGTCTTCACAACTGTCGACCTACCCTAGAAAAGTCTATCTTGTAAATCACAAAGAAAGATGACAGGTTTCACAGATTTCGTAAGTGCTGATAGGAAGAGAGGCAGAAAAGTATAGATATTTCTCTTGAATGTGTTGCAGAAGCAAATGTGCCATTTGCACACAGTGAAAAGGTTTATGACAATCTCTTACGTTTATATGGTACTTTACAAGAAGGAAACGAGAACTCATTAAATGCCTACTACATGCCAGGCTCTATGCTAAGTGCTTTACAAATATTATCTCATCTGATCCTCACAACAACCCTGGAGGGGAGGTGCCATTATTATTATTCCCATTTTACAGTTGAGGAAACTGAGGCAAGTAGCAGTTAAGTGACTTGCCCAGGGTCAAAAGGCTAGTGTCTGAAATTGTATTTGAACTCAGGTCTTCCTGACTCCAGACCTAGTACTCTATCCAATGTACCACCATGCTAGCTATACATTAACAAATTTTATTCCTACAACCATACTGAGATATAAATAATGCAAAGATTATCTATCTCTCTTCTACAGATGAGAGAACTGAAGTTCAGATAGGTCACAATCTCCCCAAGGTAACACAGCTACAGTAATAAATTCAATAGGATAACCAAATTCTTGCTGTAGTAGAGTACCAAGTTGCTTGAAATCACACTAGTTCAGAAATGCCAAAGACTGGCTATTTGTAAAGAAGTGCTGAAAAGTGCTATAAATGTGTCATAGTTCAAAGGGCTCTGGATTTGGAGATAGAGGATCTGAATTTGAGCTCTGCCTCTTAGAATCTACATGACCCTGAACAAATCACCTTCTCTGGGCCTCAGTTTTCTTATCTGAAAAATGAGGGGGCTGGACTAGATGGCTTTTGAAGTTCCTTCCAGTTCTATGATGATTTTGGGACAATGACAGTTATCAGTTAAAACAATTTACGGAATTCTATTAAGCCCTTAGTATTCTGCTAGGACTATTGGGGAGAAAGGAAGCATAAAGAGATAATCCTCCCATAATAATTTCTTGAACAAAGAAAAAAAAAAATGAAAACTTTTTCCCCCATGTAATGCAAATACAGGGTGTTCCAAAAATCTCAGCAGCTTTAAGCCTCAGCTATTAAGAAGTAAAACTACTAAGACTTTGGAATATCCCAGAAGACTCCATCAAAGATGGTCTAGTTATTGAACATAAAGTGATTACTATATAGAGGAAAGAGCACTGAATTACAATGCAGGGAACTGTTTGTAACTAGATCAACAAAACAAAGATGCACCATGGAGTTTCATTATAGAGAACCATTCTTGTAATGGTATCCCCTTTGAAAGGGATTTTACCTGAGGTATTATCTCAAATGCCTACCTATCATGATCACAGACTTAGAACCTCCTTGAAAGATGAAGAGACTCTAGATGTGTGGGGTGGAAATTAGAGAAAAACTGTAGAATTTATCAGATTCAAAGAATCTTGGGGTTGAGGTGGGGTAGGAGAGAAAAAGAAAAGACCACTTGTGTTCTCCTCATTAAGGTAGAGTAAACAAACTCGTCAGCAGCAGTCTCTCAGTATAGCCATCGTAGGAATGGGTGCATTCTCCTCTACCACAGTCTGCTGGGAGTCAAGAGGATGTGAGTCCTTCCCCACTTCTTCTGTTTCCCTCTCCTCAAGGTTACCCCTTCCCAACTCTGTGAGTTTTATCTAGCATTGCTTCGTGGGACTGAAGGTATGTAACATGCTATAAGGCAAAAACACAGAAACCATTTTCTCACTTAGGAATGACAAAGCAGACAAAAAGAACTAAATGAGAATAAAATTCATTCATTCATGCATTTATCCATCATCTAAATGTCTACTACGCTCAAGGCACCTGGCAAGGCATTAGGGTAGATGCAAAGATGTAGAAGACACAGTTCCTGTCCCTTTATTCTAAAACAATAAAATATGAAAAATATTTGTTGTAACTTAATTTATATCTCCTTAAAAATTAAGAATACTTAAAAAATAAAAGATAACAAGAATAAGATATATTATTGAAACCAATTATTTCTTAGACATCATTAACATTTTATGAGTTTTTCCTGTTCAACATAAAAAATTTTTAAATACAATCCTTAAATGTACATTGTCACAAGATTTTACTACATCATGAAGTTATCTGTGTTGTCTTCCATTTCCATGTTTACTGTCTTCTTTTCAATAATCTAGCAACCACCATTACTGTTGGCTTTCTTGACAAGCAGATATCAAACACATTCTGAGTAAAAAAATAAACTCCATAGGAAAACTACAGGGAAATTATTGTAAAATGCTCAAGAGACTAATTTATAAGAAATGAAAAAGAACTAACGCTGGCATTGAGTTGAGAGAACTGACAATGACAAAGTACTCATCTACAAGGAGTTGAAGATTATAAAAATGCAAGAAGCTCTGGAATTAGATATATGATAAAATATATCACTGAAGTACTATAAAATATTTAAAGGTTGTTGGGAATCTTTGCCAAACTTCAAGTGATGGTTCTGAAAATTACCCAACCTAAAAGTCAAGCCACCTGTCTGATGAAGAAAGTGTGTAAGAGATTTAATTTTTGATGCCAATTTCTCAACTGGACCTATAGACTTATTTTTCCAAAAACCAGGCTACATACTGTATATGGCAGGCACTTAATAAATGCTTAACATAATCTTCCAGGACTAATATATAATTATTAACTATGCCTATACAAGATCTTAAAGCCAAATTCTCATTACATTTTAGTTTTTCAGACAATCTGCAAAACATTTTTAAAAGCCAATCTCTTTCTATTAATAGACTTATTTCCCCTTCATTATTTCTTTTTACAAGTTAAAATTGTATAGGTTATTTGGCCCTCCAGCTGATTCACAGTATGATCATTTACTATTTACTAAGACAAAAAAAGCCAAAAACAATAATTATACATTTAATATGCATTTTGCTTTTAAAAGCAAGCTTTAAAGTACATCAGAGATCTTATAACTTATTAGTAAAGATTTTATAGTGCTTACAAAATTGTATCTAAAATATATATTTATTTATTCTAAATTAACAACAGCTTCTTGAAGATAGAATAATAATTTATAGTAGCCTACACATGCTATTGTAGCAAAGGCTGGTTGCACATATTCAGCATGAATTCTATTTTTAGGATTTCATAATTACCAGCCTTAAAACGTGAAAGCAGATTAAAATTTGGCACAAAAGGTCTTAGTCTAGTAACAAATTCTTTAAACTAAATTTTATTTTTAAAAATCTACCTAATATCACAGGAGAATGTGGGCGTATATGTACCTATATACGTATACACACATATACATACACACATATATATACATATATACACACACACATACATACATACATAGACTATTTTGAAATAATTTCTCCCATGTAGCAAAAAATTATTATCAATTTCAAATATGAAATTTGGATAGAAATTAACTAATAATATGCTTAAAACTATTCTTAAGTGACTATAATCTCAAAAAGCAGATAAAAATGCACAGAACTTTTAAACAAGATCTTTAATATGCATAAAACTCTCAATACATATTTAACCAATAGACTGGAATTCTTCACTATTGGGTATGTTAATACATTAAAAAAAATTACATGCCCCCAATTGCATATAATGAGGCTGTAAATCCAAGGGTTCCAATGACAAGTCAACCAAGCCAAAGTGGTTTGTTAACATTACCAGAATCCCCAAAATAGCATTAGAACCTTCATTTCTACAGATTTGGGGGTTGTTATATGTGCAAAAGAATTAAGAGGTGCTAAATTCCTTGTGACTATTAAAAAGCCACTTTAAACATTGCGTAGTTGCAAAAAGCCATTTTCTTTCCCCAAAATTCACATTCATTCTAGTTTTGCTCTTTCATGACCCTTATTTTTACCTACTCCATCCTCTCCTGAACTCAGACTGAAAAACGATAATGCTGATAATCTCTCACAGGCTTCACATACAATACTAGCAATATTTGTCTAAATAGGTGTTTATTCTTTGGATCCTCTCCAGTATTGCAGGTAGATATGCACTTAAAAACATGTCACGAAAAGTTCATTTTTATCACAAAAGACAAAAAATTCAAATACTCTAGGCTTTTGTTTACACATTAAGATAGAATCCCAACCACAAAGCAGGGTACCCATAACTCACACTGCTGTTCATAGAAAAATAAAAGGCAAGAAAATAAAAAATAAAAGAGAAAATATCAGCTGAACGTTCAATTGAACTCTTGGCTTTCCTCTTTATGTCATTTCAATAATTTTTTTAAATGTTCATAACATACTCATTTTCTGCATGACCATAGAATGTTTTGGCACATTAACACTGTGACACAATAAATGTTAAAAAAAAATTTTAAACCCATCTATTAACCAATACTCTTGTTTGTGGTGCATCGTCATTTTTTTACAGTTACTTAAATCAAATACACAAAGGTTTGTAACTGATTTACAGAAGTAGCAATCACAGATTGCAGAAATATATATCACTGAAGGGAAAAACTGCATCTTAGCAATTTTACAATCCAATGTTTTCTTGGTATCTCTATCATTTACAGGCTTCTTTAAATCTTGGTGTTTTTTTTTTTCTGTACAAAAACATATTTTTGCTTTCTTCATTCTTGATGAGATTTTTCTGCAGTGACTTTACATTCATACTGCAAAAAATTAAAAAGTTAACAAATGAAGCTTTCTTTTATAAAATGGCTTCCAGATAGCTATAAAGCTAAAATAAAGCTTTGCAGAATTATTAGAAAATGGCAAAAGAATATGGAGATACATCTACAGATAATTAAAGAGCTTAGTTAAAGGCTTAAAAGGCAGGAGGAAAGTACAACCTGTTTGCATAAATATGTGTGATTTAAGACTAGAATTACTAGTATAAAACAAAAAGAATAAGTAGGTCTTTTTGTATGATCATAAAGAAAAGAATGCACTAGCACATTAGGATTATTCTGTAAATCAAACACTGTTATATAAAGAAAATACTCTTAAAAATTTGAGCACAGGTTTTGCACAACTGATTGAAGATAACAGAAAGTACTAGACATGGTAATTAGATGTCATGATTACTAAAGACAATGAATTAATCTAACTTGCTCAAAAGCAAATGAAGATGGTCTCAATGGAGTAGCTTTGTAAAAATTACTAATACCCTAAATCCAACAAAATGGCAGAAAAATGTGGCAACATTTACCAATGAGTTTTTAACTCAGAAATACTCTGAGTGTACCTGGAACACAGGTACACCGCAAACTCAAACTAAAAGTAATGTGTTGGTCACATAAATCCTTTCCAGTTTCTCATTTAATGACATTTATCTTTTTTATATCATTTCGACCCAACGGCTCCTACAAATTATTCATTTCAACATATTCCCACAGTAGACAGATCTTTAAGAATTTTGTCTTCACAAACCAAATTTCTTTAAAGTAATAGGGGACCGTGAAATAAAACATGCCACTAACAAAAATACTACACAAATAAACTTCAACTTACCATAGCCAGCTGTCGACCAATGTTTCCCATTGTTATGCCACCAGCAAAAAATATACATGGTAACCAAGAACGAACATAAAGAAAATCTGGAGATGTATATCTAGAATGAAAGAAATAAATTTTAGTGGCACAGAGAAAAAGGAAAACTACAACCAGAACAATTTGACTTAGCAAGAAAACTATCATGAAAATAATAAATTGAATGTACTCAATTTCTAAATATGTTTAAATTTAAAATCTCTTTTTCTTTTCATTCATCATAAACCTCCACCAAAAAGACAAATACTTACTGATAAACTCCATTATAGACTAGTAGTTGAGTGACCACGGTTGCCAAGAAAGCAATTCCTACTCCAAGGCCAAAACCACTTCGTGATCTATCAAAAGTCCACCACAGACCAATGGATAGTGCAGCTAGTGTGAGAGACAACTGTATATTGTTGTCAAAATCTACTTTCTGGGATTACTGTTAAGGATTCATTTTAAAATTTCCAACCAAAGCAAAACAATGGCATTTTTCTAAATCAACAGAAACATTGGACTGGATTCTACTTGTGAGAAAGGAGTATTAACTGTGCACTTTCAAATATACTGTTTTTCACTTCAACAGAGAACACTTTAGCGCATGAGAAATTAGTAACATTACCATCACTATTTACTGAGGTAACAGAGGACATGGACAATTTAATAAACAGAATATGATACCCTTTAACATGTCCCAAAAGTAAACAGTGTATCCTTTCTTCAATTACAAGATCAGGTCTAATTCCATGATACATGATTTTCTCTACTAAAAATATATTTGAAAGCTTCTCAACACAGGTCTAAAAATTAATATACAGCTTTAGGGCTGGGTTTTTTTTTTTTGGCTTTAAAAAAAAGTCCTCATGAGATTATTTCTGAAACTGGTTTAGAATTACTTGAGAATCATACAGGAATTTGAAAATAGAAGAGTTGACAGCTATTTAACAGGGTACCACATTTTCTATGTGATTTACTGACAGACACATTTTATAATAATGCAGTTCAGAAACAAGAGTACCAAGGACACAGTATGCCTTTCTATTATGTCAACTGTTCTAGTTTTAATTTGTTGTGGATAAAGCCTTGAAATGGGCATTATCTTGCAACCTGTCACGTTATTTTGGTGTCTGAGACTTTTTGGTATAGGACAGTTAGCTCAAGTGATATTTTATTTCAAGCACCTACTTAAGCATCTATTCACAAATGTGTGGCTCTTTTCTTTCCCAAATCTCTTTTTACAAAATAGAGCTTTGCAAATTCAATTTTCTCATTTCTTTGCTAAAGGATTATACTAAAGGTATTAATTTCAGATGTCATTAAAAGGGCATTATCTATGTCCCACAAGGCCACACTATGGCTCTTCAGACATATGAAGCTCTCTGGGATTGGGGGTAGGGGGGAGGTGTCCAGTGTTTCTCTCGAGACCATCTAGTTCTGCCTTCACTGCACAGAAAGACAAGCACAGTAGACAGCATTAAAAATATCCCACAAGGAGCTCTCTTTTTCCTTTCAACATATCCTATTGCTTCTCTTCTCCTCCCAGCAACCAGCACTTCTTCTACCTCACTTAGCCTGAAGTGTTCAGTAACAAAGGATTAGTCGGGTGCAACTCTCCAAGGTTACTAAGTGTGGTCATTCATTGTCTAGGTTTAGATTGTACTATAACCTGGTTTATAGCTGTACTTGATGGAAAAGCTTTTCTTATCCTTCAGTTGGCAATAAACTTAACAGTCCAAAATAAAGCTCATACTGTTCTCTGATTTCTAGTAAGCAGTAAACATACTGCTAGAGTATGAAACCTGGCACTGGATGGATCCATTTTAGATCTCATTCAAGGAGTTTGGTTGGTATCATTAGAGGTGAGTATCACAACACACTTGAAAAAGAGCAATAGAAAGATATGTCCCAGTATGTCTCAAAATGCAATGTGCCTTTAGAAAGTCCAAGAGATTAAATACCACATTCTCACAACACAAACAATGGCTATAGACCTTAAGATAAAGGCAATAAGGAAAAAAGGAACAAAACTTAAAAATAAAGAAAAATTAATAGAAAGAAGGAAGCCTCTGGTAATTTTCCCACTAAAGAAAGGAAGAGAAAAATTAGTTTAAAATAAAGCAGGATCATTCAGATTTGAAATAGACCTTTTTTCATCAGTAAAGGAAATTGGACCTAAATGATATCAGTGTAACATAAACTCCTTTGAGGCAGAGATTATTTCCCTTTTTGTCTTTATATCATTAGTACAGTGCTCTGCACACAGTGACTACTTATTAAACTGCTACCTTTAAGGTCTCTTCTGGGCAGCTAGGAAGTGCAGTGGATAGAATGCCAGGCCTAGAATCAGAAAGATCTGAGTTCAAATATGATCTCAGACACTCACTAGCTACGTGACCCTGGCCAAGTCATTTGACCCTGTTTGCCTCAGTTTTCTCATCTGTAAAATGAGCTGGAAACGGAAATGTCAAATCACTCTAATATCTTTGCCAAGAAAACCCCACATGGGGGGGTCACAAAAAGTTGGACACAACTGAAATGACTGAACAATAAATAAAGGTCTTAGAGCTCTAAAATTCTACTTTCTAAGTCCCTCTTAAGCCTATATGATTTATTTTCTACATGACCACAAAATTCAAAGGACTGAATAAAATTAACATCTTGAGACTGTTCAAAAGAGAAAGAATAAATTATCAATGTGGAATCATAATAATGGCCCACAATGTCATCTCAAAGATTTTCATTCATTCATATGCTCTATGCACAAGGGTATATTTGCATAGCCTAGACATTTATTAGACCCAAAAAATAACATTTCACCTTAACATAAAAACTCTAATTTCTTAAAATTTGGAAGGAACAGAAAAGATTATTTCCTACCCTCCCTCTAGTTACTCTTTCACAGTTGACCTCTTAAAATTATAGTAAGTCACAACACAGACCACTATTCTCAGTGTTCCCACTCCAAGGTTCTTGCAATTGCTACTCTCAAGCACTATAGCTTACAGTGTTTGAAACAGAAAAAGATAAAGGACATTTCTTAATACCTCCACTAGAGCAGAATCAAGAACAACACATCTAGGTTGAATCCTACGAGAGGGAGAGAGTTTTTATGAGGTTGTTTAGTTTGTCTGCTCTGGAGTAGAAAACAGAGCCAGGAAAACATGGGCTCACAGAATTACTGCTGGAAAGAATCTCAGAGGCTTCTTGTCCAACCCCCTCATTTTAATGATGCAAATAGGACCAAAAAGCCATGACTTGTGACTTGCACAAGGTTCACTCAGGTTTTTAAGTGATAGAGGAAGTATCTGAATTCAGGTTCTGAGTCCAAATCCAGGACAAAATGATTCCTACAGCTCCTGAACTCCTCCACGTAGGTCCCAGGGTGCCAACAATGGTTTAGATAAGGAAAAGGATGAGTCACAAGGTAAATCGGGGAGGAGGGGAGGAATGGGGAAAAGAGTTATATAAAAAAGGCAAGGAGATCTGAGCAATAAGAACAAAGAAACTGAAAAATGGCCTATGATAAAAGCACAGGAAGGGAAGGAGAGCAGGTAGTCAAGATTACCCCAACCCCCTTCTACATTACAATAATCAATGAAAATGCACTGCCTCCAATTTTGGAATGGAAGTCAACTAGTAGCTCAAAGGATGGGTGATACGCCTGACATAACCTATTAGCAGTTAATATGAAAAGGAAAGAGGCATTTAAGAGTACAGTAGCCTTTGCTCATTATGCCTCCACATCCTTCTTCATTTTCCACTCCCCAGAAAAAAAAGGGTACACAAAGGCCAAGAAGAAAAATTGTGATTAAAAACAATTATTTTAAAACCCTGAACTTCTATTTATATTAGTGATTTTGTATTGAGATAATATCCAAAATTAATGAAAATGATTAGACTACTGATCCCAAAGAGTTAAGATTGCATGTATGTTTAAGAATTTTACCTGTCAATATCTAGTTCACTGTTTCTACTTATTCTTGTTTGGGGGAAGTATTATTCTTTTGGTGTTTTGTTGTCATTTATTAAGACAAACAAATAACAGTCTACCTTTCAAATATTTTATAGCTTCTTAAAATTCTGACAAGGCAGAAAAAGACAAAATTTAAAAGTACCCAAACTCTATGCATTTCTTAAGGATAAAACATAAAAGAAACATCCTTATTTTAAAAAGAAAAGAAATTCTTAAGAACATGGTTTCACTCTTGAAGTTAATAAACTAGATGTAATAAACTTAATCCAAAGAACTAACTACTGAAACTGTGAACAGGTTTAAAAGATGCATCTGAAAATTACGTATTTTAAGGTAACACTTCACCTACATAACTACATAACTGCTCCCATGATGTTTTAACAATACATTTCAAATTCTCTTTATGAATAAGTGGGAATATCAAATTTTGACAACAGTTACACTGAAAGGGGCTGTTTAACCTTTGGTTCATAGGAAGCTGCTTTGTTATTATGCATTTCATTACAGTGAAAAGGATACAGCACTGGCATGATTTATACCAACAAAGACTGCTACACATCGCATTACACTGGACCACTCTCTTTTAAATTTATGTGGCTCTCCCAGATGCCTGTCAATGCAGGGGTATAATAACCCAATCACAGCTGTGGAAAAAGGAGAGAGAAAATTAAGCCATCTTCACTGTAGCACTGGGAGATTCCAAAGCTAAAAGACTTACTATAACCAAAACAAGCATTTAAAAGCTCCTTTTTAAAAGCTTTTCATCAAACATTAAAATTTTAAACTTGACTAAAATAAAAATGAGAACAATACTACTGAAGGAAACATTATTAACTACTATAGGATATTAATTACAACTGGCAAAAGTTTAACAATTTTTCAAGCTATGTTTTACAATTTAGCAAATTAGACTACATTCATTTGAGTTTTCTATTACTAATTAGTATGATACAAAATAGTTTTAAAAAGATAATCAACTACTTTGTACAATCGTCCCTCTAAGCAACGAACGAACGAACTTGTAGCATCAAATACTACATATCTGACGTAAACCGAGATGGTATATATTATATTTACATGATGTACTGATGACCTAATTCCTGTTTCTGGCAACTATCTATAGTCTAACTTTTTAGGCACCATCCCACCCAATCTGGTCTGACAGTACCATTTCATCAATAAGGTGACAAAAAAAATACATATAAAATTCATTACACACATACATTAAAAAGCAAACCATGACTTAAGAGTTGAATCTATAGCTCAAATTTTAAAGCACTTTTTATCTAGTGGATAATTAATATTTACTGACTGATTAAAGTGACTTCAAAGAGACAAAATACATAATCATAGTAACATTTCTTAGTCTAGAAAAGATAACCCTGCAGTGCTAAGTAGGCAATGACACAGCAAACATTATAAACAAGCAAACCAACAAACCATAAGGCAATTTGATGTAGCAGAAAGAGCACTAAATCTGGAATGAGAAACCTGGCTGTGCTGCTAACTAGCCCAGTGAACTTTCAAGTAAGTCCCTTAGCCTCTCTGTGCCAGCTTCCTTGGCTACAAAGTGGGGATAGATAATATTTACAATTCCCTTCCTCACAGGACCATTGTGAAGAAAGCCTTCGTTAAGTTTTAAAGTGCTGTTACCAGTGGGCAGCTAGGTGGGACAGTAGATAGAGAACCTGCCCTGGAGTCTGGAGGACCTAGGTTCAAATCCAGCCTCAGACACTTGACACTTACTAGCTGTGTGACCTTGGGCAAGTCACTTAACCCCACTGCCTTGCCAAAAGAACAAAAACAAAAACAAATAAAGTGGCAATGCCTTAAAAATGGAAAATATTGTTTGAGACGTGGAACTTGCTTGCCCTAATCTCAATACAAAACACTTGTTAATGTGTTTATTTTACCATTTTTCAAATGGTAGAGAATTTGTCATTTTGTTTATTTTACCATTTATCAAATAGTAGAGAATTTGTCACATCTGAAGAAAAGAACCCTAATGAACCAAAATTTTTTTTCAGCAAGTTCTAAGAAGCAAATATATTTCCACGTGCCAAATTCAACTGGAAATAGATTAAGCATTTTCAATTTACCAATCTTCCTAAAAAGGGTCATTATACTTCCTTTCTAGTAATAAAGACACAACTGTCAGTAGAGAAACATGATTACAATTTCAATATAACCCATGGCTTGTCATTCAAACACTGCACCAAAGTCTAAAAGTCAGAGACGTTCAGAAGCTCCCCTTGCCTGTCTGGATATGTTTCACAGGTAACGCATCCAACCTTCAAGGGAAAAAAAATTGGATCCATTAATAACCAAAATCACCTGCTAGCTGACTAGTGAAGCAGCATTCGAAACAAGATGGTGTGACCACCCGCCCATCTGGAGGTAAGATGTTGCAGCAATGTAAGGTTTTGTTTTGAGGATTTTTTTTTTTAAACACAGAGAACTGTGGGCTGTGACTTGACCTGAGTGTCTATTGAGTACATAGATGAGATACAGAGCTTCACACCTAGGATTCAACAGTGGGAGAATTTCAGTATCTGATAGTAAATTTTAAAGTTAAAGATTATGTTATTGAAAGTAAATTAAAAATCCTTAGAGACCGAGTATTTCAGAAGTCCTATACAATAAATTTGACAACATAGCATGGATTGATCCATCCTAGCCAGTAATTCAAATGCAACTGATAGGACATTGATTCTTTTTTCCTCAGGAATTTATGAAATAAACTATTTTGCCTGTCTTCTTTTTGGTTTCTTCTTGTGTCTGAGTGAAATTGACTAAGATCAGGCATTCCAAGTCAATTTTCCTCAGCAGCTGACGCCATAGGTAAAGAATTATTGCATGGAAAGTCCTGACATGTCTGTGCAAAGGTACAAATAAGTAAAAATGACTATATTTTTATGCACGTGGTACAAGACTCCCAAGCGAGAGACAACTGAAAGAGAGGAAAAACAGAAAAAGGAATTTAGACTGCCATTCTGCCATTTGCCAATAAAAATCAAATCCATTGAGTATGCAAGGCTCTCAGTTGTTCACTGAGAGAAGGAGAATTCTAGGAAACTTGTCACTTCTCATTACATGTCTTCTTTCTTTTAAATAAAGGTATGGCAGAGCTGGATAGCAGATATTTACAAAACTGTGAGCTGCCACTACTAAACTGTCTGAGAACTCAGTGGGAGTGTCTATGCTTCCCTTGCTCTCTGGCACTTTAATTCATATCTTAATAAAAAGCATGTAACTATGTTTTGTTCATGGCCATATAAAATTAAAGTCAGGCTAGTTGCTGCTCCAGCAGATATTTCTCCTATTTGGAAAAAAATTCTCACTCCATCTGTATGGGATTCATCTGTATGTAATAGTCATTCGTATTCTGCCAATTTATTAAAACAGAAGAAGCTTACAACATTATTAAGTCTCTGTTTCTCCACAACTACATATCTGAACCATGGGAGTCTACAGTTCTTTAATGAAAGAAAACAGCCAATTCAAATACATTTCTGTATTTAAAATCAAGGTTGAAAAGTCAAACAGTTCATGGGAAATAGGGCCCTCCTAAGCTCAGGACTAAAATGAACCTGGCTTCAAATTATGACTGACTATGTGATCAAGGGCAAATCATTTAGCCCATTTAAGCCTCAGTTTTCTTAACTGTAGAATGGGGATAATCCTACTATCTACCTCTCAAAGTTCTCTTAAGAAAGAACTTAGTAAACCTTAAAGGGATATTTAAATATAAGTTGTCCTTGGGAAAAAAAAAAGACACTGGCCCAGGAAATTCAACTTACTAGGCACCGAAAAGCCAGATGACAATAAGTTCCCTTTCACTGGGGTGGGAAACTTGCAAATTGTAGAACCTGTGGCTGTTTTTCTAGAGCTCTACCACCCCCTGAAGATTTTCCTCACCACTTCCTAACAGTAAGAAGTCAAAGTACATGAACAAACAGTTCTCAAAAGAAGAATATAACCATATCATAATTACCATTAGAACACTCTAAATCACTAAAAATAAGACATGCAAATAAAATAATCCTAAGGCTTCACCACAAACTCAGCAGACTGGCAAAAGTGACAAAGGATGGGAATAGTCATTGGTGAAAGGGCTGTGGGAAGAAGGGCACACCAGTGTATTGTTGGTAGAGCTGTGAATCAGTACAATCATTTTGGAAAGCAATATAAAATTATGCAAATAGAGTGACTGATCCATACCCTTTGACTCAGAGATTCCACTAATTAGGCATATATCCCCAAGGTCATTCATTGATAAGAAGAAAGCCCACATATACACCAAAATATTTATAGCAGCACTTTAGAAGAGGCTAGGTGGGACAGTGAATAGAACACTGGGCCTGGAATCAGGAAGACCTGAATTCAAATCCAGCCTCAGACACTTCCTAGCTGTGTTACCGTGGGCAAATCACTTAACCTTTGCCAGCCTGACTTTCCTAATAGAACCCACCTCTCAAAGTTGTTGTGAGGATGAAATGAGATAATACCTACAAATTCTAAGCACAGTGCCTAGTACACACAAGGTGCTTAATAAATGCTCATTTTCTTCCTTTCTTTCCTTCTTTTTGCTTCTTTCTTTCATTCTTCTTTCACTTTTTTTCCTTTCTCCCTTCCTACCTTCCATAGAAGCAAAGAATTGTAAACAAAAGAGATGTCCACTGATTAAGGAATGGCTAAGCAAATTATGATATGTGAACATAATACAATATTACTGTACTGTAAGAAATGCTGAATATGGTAAATACAGAAAAGCAAGGAAAGAATGGCTAAGTGAAGTAAGCAGAGCCAAGAAAATATACACCATGACTACAATAATGTTAATGGAAAGAACTATCATCAAATAATCAATTGAATTAAAATAATCCAGGGAATACCACAAAATTATAGAGAATAAATATGACCCTAAAGAAGAGCTACAAGAAGACACCTCCCCCCATTCCTCTGAAGGGGGGAAAGTTCCATGGGTATAGAATATTGCATATATTTTCAGACTTTTTGGATGTGTTGATCTACTGTGGCTGATTTTTTTCTCTTCCTTTTTCTTTTTTTCCCTTTAAAAACCAAAGATATCAACAAAAATTTGTTTTAAAAAAGATTTTCCTCATCATCTTGTTTTCCTCATCTTTTCTTCCACCAATGACTACCTTCAGTAATGACATTCAGCAAATGACAGTCAATTTAATTCAGCAAAACTTTATTAAACTCCTACTATGTGCATATTGTACTAGAACCTAGGGTTTCAAAGACACAAAGGAAATAGTCTGCAGTCTCAAGTAGCTTACGTTCTACTAAAAGATATCATGTACACAGATGAGTAAAATCAAAGAGGAAGAAAACATCAAGAGCTTGGGGAAAGAGGGCAGGTGTTAGAGAGAACGTGCCTCCAAATTAAGCCTTGAATGAAGACAAGGTTTTATGAGACAAAAATGAGGAAGGAATGCATTCCGGGTATGCAGGATAGCTTTTGCAAATGTAGGTGATGTCACGTTAAGTTTAGGAAACTACTCATAGCCAGTCTGGCTAGAATGTACTGTCAGTAAAGAAATACCAGTCCAGCTATGTCCTTCTCCTACTCAATAACCTCCAGTGGCTCCCTACTGACAACTCTAGGTATAAATATTAC